AGCAGACGAGCAGCTTGCTTCAGACCCATCGAAGACAGTCCTGCTTGCTCATAGGAGGCGACTTGAATGCGTCCCTGGGGGGCATTGCGTCTGATCATGTGCATGGAGTTGCCCCGGAGGATGAGGACTTGCCGGGTAGCTGGGTGCACGACATAGCAAAGCGCTTTGATCTCTTCGCACCAGCCACCTTTTCGGATTGTCACTCGGGTCAATCTTACACATACACCCAAAAGAATGGAGGTCACCGCTGCCGTCCAGACTTTGTGCTTGTACCTCTTGCTTGGGTTAAGGGTCACGTGTCCTCCTGGTGTGAACCAGCCATTCAGGCAGGCCATTCAACCCCAGATCATGTTGCGGCTTGCGTTAGTATCTGCTTCCGGTCCCTTTGGGGCCCTGGTGAAACCAAGCTCTCCAAACGCAGAATTCGGGCTGAAGACATTTGTGCGCCGGAGAACCGGAATGCCGTCGAAGAGGTCCTCCGGAGTGTCCCCCGTGTGCCTTGGGGCGTGTCGGTACACGCCCACGCTGCCATCGTGACCAAACATGTGCAGGATGGCCTGCAGCGCATCACTGGTCCCCGGGCAGCCAGACCGCACCATGCCTACTTGACAGATGCAACCTGGCAAATGCAGCGAGCTGTGTCCAAACTACGCCGGCACTTTCACCAGCTCAGCCATCGCATCCAGCTTTGTGATCTAGCTGCTGGGTTCTATGCCTGGGCTCGAGGCTCACCTCTACGCACAGTCCTGCTACACGGCTGCCGATGGCACGCGCAGGCTGAACGTGCTAGACAGTCTATGCATACTGCACTTACCGAGCAGTGCAAGCTGCTCCGGAAAGCATGCAGGCGGGACCGAGACGCCTATATCGGCAGGTTGGCAGAGACAATTTCCGTAGCCCCCTCTAAAGACTCCTTCGCTGCCTACCATGCCATCTTAGCACACCGACGCAAGAAGGTGTGCTCACCGGACCCTTTGCCACAGGTGCTCGATTTGTGCGGGGAGGTCTGCCCCGATGCGCCCAGCATGAAGCAGCGATGGCGTGAACACTTCGCTTGCCTGGAAGGGGGTCAGGAAACCACTTTCTGGCAGCTTGCCGACTGCGCAGCTTCCGGTACTCCCGCGTCGCAACCGCTGCACCCTCCTGACATTGCTGATGTCCCTAGCCTGCCGGACCTGTGTAAGATCCTTGCCGCGACCAAGGTCGGCAAGGCGTCGGGTATGGACTCCATACCGGCCGAGATCAACCGAGCATTCACGCAGGAAGTCGCCTCCCTTCTCTTTCCGCTTCTGCTGAAGACCTTGTGGCGGGGCGCCGAACCGGCCGGCTACAAGGGAGGCCAGGCTATCATTATGTACAAGGGCCGTGGTCAGGCCTCGGCTTGTACGTCCTACCGGTCGATATTGCTCATGAACACATGGGCCAAAACGCTGCACCAGTCAGTCCGACCGCTGATACGCGATGTATTTGAGCAGACTGCGCCTGCACTTCAAATTGGAGGCCGCAGCGGATGCTCGGTTACCTTTGGTTCGCATATCTTGAGAGGCATTTTCCGCTGTGCAAACCGAGATGCTGTTCCCGCTTTTGTGCTCTTTGCGGATATTTCTGCGGCCTTCTACAGCGCCCTGGTACAGTTGGTTGCTCATTCCCCTGCAACCACGTCCCCTGAAGGTCTCCACACTGCCCTTCAAGGCCTTGCCCTGCCAGGCGATGTTGTCGATGAGCTCCGTGAGCTTCTACAACAGCCATCAGCCCTGTCGCAATCCTTTGCCTCGCCATGGCTCGAGCGTTTGGCTGCGCATTTTGGTGAGCGGAATTGGTTTGTCATCGCGGGGGATTCGACGCCTATTGCCACGGGCAGAGGCACCAGGCCAGGCAGTAGCTGGGCCGACGTGCTTTTTGCACTCCTCATGCCCAAGGTGCTCCGCAAAAGAGACGCTATTCTTACAGCCCTTGGAGCAACGCCTATCAAACCACAGTTCCCGTGGGACGGGGAGCAGTCCTTGGCTCCCTGTGCCGAAGGCAGCCCGCTCACCTCTGTTGATGAGGTGGTGTGGGCAGATGATATTGCCATACCCAGGCTGTGTCCGCAAGTCTCACGTGTGGAGCAGGTGGTACGAGTGGAAACCACGGCTCTCACCGAGGCCTTTCTGTCTTTTGGATTTCGTTTAGCCTTTGGCGAGCACAAGACCGCTGCTGTGGTCTCGGTATGCGGGCCGCACAGCCGGGCGGTTAAGCGATCCCTCTACAGCCATGATGGCCTACAGGGCCAGCTCCCGGTTCTCTTCGAGCATATACCGGCTATGAAGCTGCCCTTGCCGCCCAAATACAAGCATTTGGGTGTCCTGCAAACCCCAACAGGTTCGATTCTTGAGGAGATCAGGCACCGGGCCGGACTGGCACGCGGCACATACCACGAAGCCAGGCGCAAGGTGTACAAATCTAAAGCGATCTCGCTTCAGCGCAAGGCCACACTTCTTGCAACGACGGTGGTCCCTAAGTTGCTGCAAGGAGCTGGGGCTTGGCCCCCGCTCAACAAGCGTGAGCATCAGGCCTTTGCTGGCGCCGTCTGGGGATTTTATCGGGGTGTCCTAGGGGTTCATCGTAACATGGACCAGCGCATCACAGCGTCCACTTGCTTCTCGCTCCTCCAGCTTCCCGATCCGGATACCCTTCTGCGGCTGGCTCGCCTGTCTTATTTGGCGCAGATCGTTCGGTCTGGACCTGACATTCTGTGGGCCATCTTGCGTGCAGACCGTCCCTATGCTGACATGCTTGCAGGTGACCTTGCATGGCTGTACTCTTGGGTTTGGGACACTTGCAGCTTGCCTCACCCAGCAGGCAACTGGCGTGAGTGGCACAGCTTTATCAAAGCCTCACCCAACCGCTTCAAGGGCCTATGCAAACGAGCCCGCGCCCTTACTGTATGCCAGCACACCGTGATTGCCGCGTTAGACAACTTGCATTGCGCTCTAACCGACATCGCCAGTGTCAGGCCGCACTCCAGCGGCGCCCTGCAGACACCGCACACAGAGCTTTGCCTCCCCTGTAAGCGCAGTTTCCCAAGCAGGGTATCATGGGCAGGCCATGCTGCACGATGCCACGGATACCGATCGAAATCCTTCCTGCTCCCTGAGGATCGGGTCTGCCGCACATGTGCGAAAGTGTTTGCAACCATCGGCCGACTAAGGAGACACCTCATCTCCGCGCCTCGTTGCCTGACTGAGTGGGGCGTCTTTCAACCTTCCACTGCTGCGCGCAAGTTTCAGCCTCATGCTATGGCCCCTCCCACAGCTGTTCCCGGTGTGCCTGCACCGCCCCCGAACTTCGACTTCTCTTCTGCGATCTCGACCACACTTCTCGCTGATCTTCACGAGCTGTCTGGTTGCCCCGAAGATGAGGTATGGGAGGTTTTGGAAAGTCACATAGAACCTCTCCAGACGCTCAGGGAAACTGTTCTGCGCTGGCGGGGCGAGGGTTCCCCCTCCCTATGGCGAACTGAAACGGCTGATAACATGTTGCTACTGCTTGACCCAGATGTCGTAGCTGAGTCTCGGCAACCCACTACTGATAAATCTGGGCATCTGCCGGCACATGAAGTGGCATGGACCACCTTGGGGAGGCTCCCATTGTCCCACTCAGGTCAGCTTGTTGTGAAGCGACTGGAATGCCCACCGCCGCATGTTATGCACCACTGTCGACCGCACAGCCTCACTGTTCGCCAGGCCTCGGCATACGCAGCTTGGCTTGAAGCGGCTTGCGACATGTGCGCGAACTGCGCCCTAACTGCTTCGCATCACCCTGTAGCCATCCGATGCCCTGGACTCTCAGCCGCTCTTGGCCCTGCTTCGCAATGGCTGATCGATTGTGGCTTTGACGTCCAGCCGCATGGGATCTACTCTGGCCCTTGAAGTTTCACCGGTTTCACCTGAATTCAATGCCAGGCGAGCGTCCGGAGAGGACTCTACCGCTGGGAATGGAAAATGTATCATGAAAGGCGGCCCTCCCATTGCACCAATTTTTTTGACTTCTGACTGTCATGTGGTGTAAGACTCGGATTATTACCACGGCTTGCAGAGGGTGGAGGAGCATCAAAACGACTACGGGACGAGGTTTGACAACGTTGGATGCGGCGCACGCAAGCGTTAGAAAGCAAAGCAAAGCCAGCAAGACCCTAGAAACCCAGAAACAACAAACTAACCAAAACGAAAAATCTTTGTAATTGTTGGGTTCGCTAGCTCGATGTTGTATGTGTGATGTTGCCTTGGCGTTTTAGCTCTGATACTTTCTGTTTGGGAGGGCAGGCTTTTGTGCGTCTTGGTTGGTTACACAGGGGATGTGCATGATTTTTGTGATGCGCTCCTTCCTTTGCGAATCGTTTTCGTCCTTCTGGATATTCGTTCTTGCTTCTTGTCTCTGCTCCCTGAACTTCGGGCTTCAGGTGTGTGCTTTGTTTCCCGTTTCGTCCCTCCCTCGCTGCTCTCGTTGTGACTCACCTATCGCCTTCTCTGCACACCTTCTTCCTTCCTACAGTCCTTCCTGAATCCCTGTCTTATCTGTATTCCCTCGCTCCTCGTTTCATTACATCCTGCCTTTCTTTCCTGCTTCCTTCTTTTCCCTCCTGGTCCCCTGGTTCGTCAGGAGAGTACCACGACAAAGGGACCTCTATGTTTGTCCTCGGTACCTGTCATGTTGGCAAGTTTGGCAAAACCGTCAGACTTCCACGAAGGTCTGGGCCACGAGGTGCGAATGTCCGAAACTCCAAACACGTTAAAGTTCCAGGATTGATTGGCAGGTGGACGCACCAATGATTTCAGCAACAGCGGTACTGCACCAGACAAACAAGTGCGGGAAGTTTCCGATCAAAAACAAATAGCATCTCCATAGCTGCATTGCTGCAATTGCCTGCGATGTTGCAAGGCTGGACAAGACAAGAAAACAGAAGAGCCAATGTAGCGCGCCGTGTGCATGAAAAGCCGTCGTGATTCATCACTAGCTTGCTATGCGGCACCCCTGAGTTTTTGTCCAGCCGTCCAACCCAAAAAAGCACAGCCGATGTCTGTGGTCTCCTTGTTGGAAACAGAACAAGACTTCCCTGTTTCTCCTCCAAAGTCTCTGTCGAAGTGGTCCCGGCCTCCCTCGTCCATGCCTGCGCTCTCAAAGCACAATTGCATTGGAAAGAACTATCGCACGCACGAAGAGCACTAATCTGTCTGATAAAGGAAGCGGGCTTTCGCGGCACCTCTTCACATCAAGCATTCATTCATTCATTCATTAATTAATTCATTCATTGTCCGTCCATACATACACACATACATACACACTTACTTACTTCCTACTTTCATCCATAAATCCACACAAACATTGCAAGGGCCCGTGAAGGTAGGTACTTCCATGACAAACACAAGCGCACCAGCCTCGCAGCATTTCATGACATCTTTCGTCCTGAACGCATAATTTGCTGAAGCATGAAGATCAAGTGTAGTCTAGACCGGATCTCCTGAGTGAAGCGATTGCGCTCCTGCAGCAAAAGAAATACCGTGTCCGATCACACAACAGTCTTGGGCTTTGCCTGTCTTTGGACTAGATGCTACAAGCAATCCGTGGAAACGGTTGCCTTGACCATCTTCCGAGCTCTCTCGCCCAGGTGTCGTTCTAGACCCATCTTGTCCTCAGCTTTGTGTTTGGAGAGTGGCAGAAGCGAAGATCCTGGTTCGAAGCCCAAGTCTCCACACCTGTGGAAGAGTTGGAGTATGCGTGCTGTGCCTCTCGGATTCCATGCTGGGCATTGCCAACGTCCGAAGAGGAATATCTTTCTGTATGCACCTCAACGTTGCATCTTCTCGTGCATAGGGGGATCGCACACAAGGCAAGCATGGCGGGCTGCAGGCCTTTCCATCTACACCTCGAGAAGACGACATTACGAAGGTCTGGCAAGAGTAGCAGCCAGTTCCTGGAGCAGCTCCTGTCGGGATCAAAAGCCGATAACGTTCCACAGGCTCTAGACCGTCTCACCTGCCTGGAGTGCTCCCATTCATCTGAAGGTTCCCAGGAAATCCCTTCAGCATATCTCCCTCAGCATCGAAAATCGCACAACTCGCAGGCCTGCACTGCAGTCGAGCTTTCTTTGTGCACGGCGGCAATCTGATCGAACCGCGACATCAATCCTCCCCCCAAGGGAGCATTGCTGAAGTCCTGATGAAGACGTCGTGGTCGCGTGACACTCCCTGCAAAAACAGCAGGCGCACCTTGAAAGGGTCGTGACCTCCCAAGATAGTTCCGAAAGGAGCTAAAGCACTCCGTTCGGGAAGATTGGCAGGTTCGAAGCCTCGCAGATGTAGTCTGTGATTGCTGTCAACTCCGATACAGCTCTTGTCTAGGTACCCGGCTTCCGCTAGTCCTCGCTGTTGGAACACCTGAATCTCTCTGCAACAGTCCACCTGACTGACCATGCCCGGATGCAAGCAGGAGGCGCGATCCACTCGCGCCACGTCGGACAGATCCATACGGTCGAAGCGCCATCACTTAGCCAGGGGGAAGATGTGCACAAGAGCTCTTTCAACAAGCAGCTAACAAGGCAGAGCCGGACTGCTACGCTGAGATCGAATCCACGGCAAGCCAAAGATGCACCTTCTCGCCGTTCGGCGCGGAAGGATCAAATGGCGAAGCTTCGCAGCTTTGAGCCCAGAACATCACGAGTGCCACTATATGCCAATACATGAGCTCGAACATGCTCGATGAAGTCAGAACGCGAGTCCCAACCTTATGGAACATCGCCCCGTCATAGATGGTGACCTTGCTCATCTCATAAAGCACATCGAATCACCAACAGCTGGCCTTTGAAAGGCCTGGCAAAACCTTAAGCTGGAAGTAAGAAGCCCTCAGAGATAGAGAATTCCGAAGGCCTTTGACCCGCAACAATGAATCCTGCTAACGATAAATGTGATACGTGGCTCACCTGAGCGGCGCAATCTCGGGTCGATGCTGTACCGGGCGCGGTGAAGGAAGGTGCAAAGGATCTTGCCAAACCTGGGTATTGCTGATACACGGAGGGACATGTCCTCTATTTTCGTCTCAGGGCAGATCAGTCCTTCCGCTTCAGGATTGTCCTGAATGCCAGAACATTTCACAATTACACGTTGGCTACACGTCGTTGTCGTGCAGCCGAGCCCACCTCTATTTCTACCAACCCTGCATGTCCGATGGTCTCAAACACGAAACGCATCAGCCCGGGTCGCAGGTGCAGCCTCGGCGCATTTTGATGGCAGCACTGGCTGGCCAGTCCTGCGGGACCAGTCCGATCGGAGATGCTGAAACGAAGAAGCACGGTGTCGTAGACTCGCGGCCGTCACTCTGTGGCACCTTACAGCACGCTACTCGACCTTCAGCTGCTCACCAAATAACGGCCGTGCTGCTTGACGGAAGACCGAATGACCCCCGCAAGGGAATGGTGCTGCAACTACATGATATGTCCTCCCGAGTCAGGGATTCCCCAGTGCAAGGACAGAAGTACGTCGGCCTGACTTGTGAGACAATGCATGGAAATCAGATGCAATCCAGGGGTGAGACCGCAGCCCCAAAGATGAAGGTATGTCGTGCAAAGCCGTGTGCACCGAGACTGACAAGCCCTGCAGCCAGGCGGGGCAGACCACCACCACAACCGAGGTTGCTGAAAAATGCCTTGAAATAGTGCACGTCGGGATGCAAACTCTGGTTTGCACCTTGTGCTTGGCCAATCTTTTCAACAAGAGAGTGGATTGTACGCAAGCATCCCTGGCGGCGTGCTTCCACTGGCAGATGTCAACACCTCGGCGGCCCAACTTGCGCACAGTTCATCAACAAGTTGCCACCTGGGCCAACTACCGAAACGTGATCTATGCCAAAGCTGCCCCCACTTGTCATGAAGTAGGCATGCAGCACCTTCGAAGTGCGCAGGGATGATTGGTATCGTGCATACTTCTTGCAAAGCTTGAAGCCTCCAGCACCAAATCACTGACTCCTAGAGTCTCGCGTGAAGAGAATGGCTTCGCAAACGGAAGATAAACCTGCCACAGCATCAAGGCGCTGGCCGTCAGGAAAATCCTTAACAAGATTGCTGCAGGACTGTGCCTGATATCGGCCATCATGAAGCTGCTTGGTGTCAAGCAACTTCTTGTATGCCTTCTCTTTGGACTTCAGCTGATCAAAGGCCTGGACTGTAACAAAAGGTGCTTTCGTCAGGGTGTCACACGTCAGGCATGCAGCCTTCTGAAAGCGATCCAACGCCGTCAAATCATAAGCACCCAGGAGCTGCCTCTGCTTCGGCAATGCAACATGGTGTGACGCTGGAACAGATGACACAGGCATACACAGGCTAGGCTGACCCGTTCGCATGGCCTCATGCGACAAACTGAAGATTCAACTGTACTGATTAGTTCGCTCTTCTTGTCCGTGTCGTTGCTATATATGAGCGAGCATCGCGATGCACTCACATAAATTGACGAACAGGTATGAACAGCAGCTGAAGGGCACGACGCCGCATCGTCGAAGCGTGTCGACAGCCTTCTCGGCACCGGAATCCGCTGAAACTGCGATGCCTGCCATGGTCGGACGACGGAGCCACTCGAATTGAAGAGTGAATTGACAATCCAATCCGGAAAGAGCTGGAACCTGCAAAACAGGGTCCACAATGTCTGCGCAAACAAATCCTGTCAACAGAAACCCAATCCCGTTCCGAACCGCAACAGATTTCCCAGCGTTCGAAAAAGCAGCCACCTTCGGAAGCGCAGCGCTCTGCACAGTCGCGGTGCACCTGGAACAGTTGGCCAGGCGGTAGGGCGGGCAGGCGGACGCTGCAGAACGACGAAAACAGCGCAATCATGGAAGATAGGACAATCCCAGAATCTTTTCCCACCTGCAGAGCCTGCGAGAAGGGCTCCGACCCGACCTTAGAGGTTACATATTCGATGCAGCACTCAAACTGTCATAGCGGGGGTGCGGCCGGTGCAGCTCCTGGGCCAAATGCACCAGGTAGAAAAGTAGCCTCATCGAAACGGGACGTCAGATTCATCCCATTTTCGAGAAAATGTCACTTTCGTCCAAGTCTCCGACCATGTCTTGTTGTCCCCCGCCTGGTCTTAGCGGCTCTGGTGTTTCTCAAACTTTTGCCGCATCAAATCTGAACAAGAGCCTGCTACGGAACAGCGAAATACAGTATATTAACATAAAGGAAAGTCTCAGCCCCATAACACAACCGATAACAGCATAAGACTTCGGCCCGAAATCTGAAAAGCACATTGCCAACTCCTCGGAGGACCAAGGGCCGAGCCACAGCTGCCAACACACAACCTCAAGGCAAAAAGCTTCACGACAAAAACCCCACTCTTCCTTATACCAGTGCGAAAATGTGGCTTGCAACTTGTAAGCAAAACTGATTGAAAATCAAAGCAAACATGCATGCCATCTCAGCCAGCTTGCCTGTGGTTGGTGAGATCTCTTTTCACAACTCAGGAATGGAAGCCCTTGGCGAAAACTGAGCAGTAACACCCTAAAGCTCTAAGCCCTGTGATCCTAAAGCAGAAAACCCCAAGCCCTACAGACATACAGCCACACAGCCTTAAATCCCAAAAGCCCCACAGCCCTAAAGCATCTTAAAGCCTCGCAACCTGACAACCCAAACCCTTCCAAACACTTGTAAGACGCCTACAGAACCCTATAATATCCTTACAGACCCTATTCGGCCCCATCAACTGCTGCAACATCCCCATGCTAAAGGAACTTGTAGGGAGCCAACAACGTCTGGTCGCAGTTTTTTGTCAAGTTGTAACATGTTTGTCGTGGGTACCACACGTTCCACACAAAGGGGCTTGAAACACCAGTTTCGCATTCGTGTGGCCGCCGGCCAAAGTTTGTCCTTCTCAAACGCGACCTGCACAGCTCACAATGCTCAAGGATTCCAAGGCACGGCACACCCCACAACAACGGTTTTGGAATATGGATATTTCCAAACCGTGCGTGTGCGTCGTTTGAGTCTACGTTGCCTTTTGCTTGTTGTGGGTCAAACAAAGTCTATTGATTCTGCCAAGGACGCAATCCACCGCGAAGCGGACCCTCACGCTCCTGAGAGCCGAGGCAAAACAAAATATTCATCGACATGATATTTCTCCGGCCCGCCGAGTGCGTCCACGTAGCAGGTTTCAAGTTGGATGCCTCAGTAATTACCTAAGCTGCATTGTCATGCAGAAGAATGCTCGCATCTTGCAGGTTTCAAGCTCCATGGATTTCTTGGCAATACATACGTATTTGCATCCACATTGCCAAGCATGCACGAAACGACGAGCGAGCTCTGTGCATTCTGCTTCCTTTGCTCTAGCTTGCGTGGCCCTCTTCTCAAGTTTCGAAAGACTCGTGGGAGAGGGTTCCCTGGCTTTCGTTGCACCACCAAAGGTGAGTCGTGCTATTTCGGGAACTTCGTGACGGTTGATGATCTCTGCCCTGGTCGCTTCATGTTTGTGGAGTGAACTTCCAGGAGTTTTTTCCTCCGGCCGGGACGGTGTTACACTTTAAGCCGCTCTGGTGAGCGTCGTCAGAAGGGCCTGGACCTCGCTGTCTGTCAGAAAACCGTCTAGTCTGGTCTCGACCAGACTGAAAGGCTCCTTTGCCTCATGTGGATAAGCTGTCCTGATCTGCCCTTCCGTCTCTTCCCCTTGCGGTCCATGTCCCTCCGTGATGCCAAAAAAGCCAAAGCGATCTCCGCTGCGCCAGTGTGGCTTGGTTCTCACCCACGTCCATCAGCACCATCCGGGTGCTGCTGCGGCTCCTATAGCGTTGAAGACAATGCCGGCGACGAAGCTTGCTAAAGCGGTACACAGCACGTGATACAGCCCAAGCTATACTGATACAGGCAACGGTAGCGGTGGCATTCTGCATGGTGATGCTGTTTACAGCCTGGACCTATCAAAGAAATCCGTTGCCATTGCCTGCAGAAGACACAATGTGCACACATCGACCCGTTCTGCAACTGAAGCTGGGATCTGAAACTAGAGGGATGTCGGGCTCAACTAGTGAGGCATCCGGCAGCGTCCGGCACGCATGCCCAATCAACTCTCCCTGCCCAGAAGCGACCTGCACTTTTTGGGTCGGTGGCCACCTCCGAAAAATGAAGCGACCGGGGACTCTTGATTGTGAACAGGACAACCTCTGTTGATATGCTGTTTGTGAGACCGCCGACTCACCACAGTACCTGAATGTGGGGGGAGTGGCCAGTGTCATGTACGGCATGTGGGCAATACTGCACCAATCATAGGCACATGTGCTCACATATAGGTCTAGAAAGCATCGTCCTGACCCGCAACTTACCCCTGCGCCTGCCGCCAAGCCCGGAGCTCTTGGAGTGCTCTAGCGTGACAGCAGCTACGCGCACGCACAGCAGCACGACAGACCATGTGCTAGGCGTCTGCCCGTGAGACAGCTTCGAGACCTGCGAGAACCGCAAGACTATACAATGTCTGCTAATGGATTTGCGGTTGTGTCCGGGCAAGGGTGAAGCAAGAGCATCAATTGGCGAAGCAGACTGAAGCCGTTCACGAAGCAGAGACTTGTTCTCCCCGTGGGGATCTAGCCAATGCTCCAAAGCCTCTAGTTCAAGTCGTAAACATCAATCAAGACGGCGCAAGGCTTCGGCGGGCAAGCCAATGACCCAACGGCGTGAAAACCGTATGTTATATAGGGTACTGCGTACGCAAGCAACACACAATCTCACACGGCAGCAAAGCGAAAGTTTGCGGCAGCTATGACTCTGACCCCTATATATATAAGTAAACTTGGCATGATGCTTTCGGGATATTCAGGGGGGCACCGGGCATTCCTCTAGGCTGAGCGCACAGCGCACACACGTCCACGAATCCAGGCCCGAGCAGCACTTCCGTGATGATTTGAAGGCGTTAATTAACCTTCACACCGCTGCTATGAAATAACCGAAGCAAGACCGGAAGGCAATCCCAAATCGTGACTCGACCATTGTACGTGTGATTGGCGTCCGCAGTCGTCACGACGATCCACCTCGTCAGAAGCAGGTGACGTCCATAGCGTGTGTCCTCCTGCACAATTACCAGCAGCGGTCCTGAAGCCAAGCCTTGAGCTTCCCTGCGTCGTTCCACCAAGGTTTGCCGGCCTTTTCAGTGCGTCGGGGCTCGTCTGTATGCTCGTTCTCGACTGTTTCTCCATGCGGACCCAATCTAGAGAATATTTTCACCCCAGAAGACATTTCCAGGACCGATGTGGAGCGGTCGCAAACTGTCAGCACTTAATCTTCGCAGAAGTTGTTCTTGCGGTGTACTGACCACGGCATGTGGAACTGAGCAGTGTTGCAAAACTTAGAAGGCCAGTATGCAGAATCCAAAGAAATGCCATGAACCCTGGTCGGAAGAGGCCCTCCAAACCAGCTCACGGGGGTGCCGGGGCTTCTTCTGCATGTACATTGCGTGTCGCCACAAGTGACCGTTGACAGTGTTGTCGGCTACCAGTTGGGTGGCAGGGTGGCACGAAAGACAAGAAGATGAAATCCTCGAGGCACGATGCAAGGAACGCTTTGATTGGAAGCCGAGATGAACACGCAGTGTCGGCGTTGGCAGGGCAAACTGGGAGAGGGTGTATGCGATCAACACGCACCCCGGATCCGGCGTTGGAGGGCTGGAGGAGCTCCAGCAACTAACACTTGAAGCTAAGCTGCTTTAATTGCTGCACATTCGAGATTGGCGCAACCGTTTCCCAGATCGGCGTTCTGATCACACGCAAGCAGCACATACATGCTGTGGTCAGGAAAACACAACCTAAAGCCTTGGACCTGGTACCTTGGAGACTTGGACCCAAAAACAAACCAGTTTTGACTTGTCTTCCGCGCTGGATTGTTGCTCGTCAGCCCCCTATAAGCCCATGCGGCTCTATCTGCAAGCCTTACTTACGACACGGAGTCCAGCAAAATTCGCCATCGGCCCCGGAGTTGCGACATCGTTGCCGCGGTTGTGAGCGATTCGAAAGAAAGCGGTATTCCACGTAGAAAAACCTCCCTCCAAGTCTGGACAGGAACAGGTCTCCTTAGCCGTAAGACGCGAGCGGGATGTGTAAAGGTCACACATCCCACACGTGCATTGCACCTCGTTCGTACTGCAGAAATCTGGAGACGTCAAAACGTCTTGCACAAACCCGGTACAGAACGTCGAGCCGCTGGCCAAAACAGGCGGTGCTTGATCACCATTGCAGCATGGGCAGCTGCGAAGATATGACGAAAAAACGTACCGATAAGGTAGGCTTTTAAAAAGGGTTGATAGTTTCATGGCGCCGTTGGAGCCCCTGCACTTCACGTTCGACGAATCCGGGATGGGATACGACAGCTGAAGCCCGGCAGCGCCGTGCCAGAGAGCCTTCCAGCCGATGTTTGGCTGTTGCATCCGGATTCTGCAACCTCAACCGTAGCAATCAACATCCGCATGAAACAACCTGCTGCGTGATTTCCCTCCTGCCACAGGACTTGTGGCCCTTGAATGTTGTTAAGACCCTTGTCTTGCCCGGGTACTGCATACAATGGAGTTCTTCCCCATGTGTTCAGGAGCATATCAACACCCAGCCGTAATTTGCCTACAGCCCGGCGAAGGAAATAGACGATGCGATATATCGTCGATTTGCACCGTTCGAAGATCAACTTTCAGCAAACATGCCAAACGGCAAGGTTGCCGCGAAAGCGCGATCTTCGGGCTGCGATTCTATTGATACACGCGGGCCGTTGTTATATTGTGCGCCACGGCCCACATTAGGGCGAGTTCTCGATGCCAAAAAGAGTCAGATAAGGCTGTACTGATTTCGTCCGTCGTGACCATTTTTCAGACGAGCAGGTCACTTATGTCAAGGGTTGCAGTAGTAGTAATAGTCGTCGTCGTCGACGACGTCGTCGTCTTCATAGTAGTCGTCGTCGTTGCAGTAGTAGTATGGTGTTAGTAGTGGTGGCAGAAGAAGGTAGTGGTAGTGGTAGTGGTAGTGGCAGTGGCAGTGGCAGTGGCAGTGGCAGTGGCAGTGGCAGTGGCAGTGGCAGTGGCAGTGGCAGTGGGAGTGGGAGTGGG